TGCGGGCTTCCCCAGTACTCGGGCGCGTTCCCTTCCGGCCGGGGCCTGGAGCCGCGCGACGACCCCGTCGTCGCGCGGCTCCGCGACGCCGGCGCGATCGTCGTGGGCGCGACGGTCATGACCGAGTTCGGCATCTCGCCGATCGGCTGGAACGCGCACTACGGCGGCGCGCGGAACCCGTGGGACGCGGACCGCTACGCCGGCGGCAGCTCGACGGGCAGCGCCGTCGCCGTCGCCGCGGGCCTGCTGCCCGTCGCCGTCGGGTTCGACGGCGGCGGGTCCGTGCGCGTGCCCGCCGCGCTCACGGGTTTGTACGGTCTCGCCGCCGGGTTCGCGCGCGTGCCGTTCCGCACGGAGGCGCCGTGCTCCATGACGCACGCGGGGCCCTTCGCGACGACGGCGCGCGACGCGGAGCTCGCGTCAGCGTCCTGCATCCGTGACAATTTCGAGAGATTTCGACCGGGAAAACGATGAAACATCGTTACCGACGCATGTGGTAGGCTCGTGTACGCTCTCATCTCCGCGCCGGCGGCCGACGGCGAGGGCACGCACACGACGACGACGCTCTACCGGCCGCCGCCCCCGTCCGGCGCGGAGCCGCCGCGGCGCATGCGCCTGGGCGTGCTCCGGGGCGCGATCGACGACAGCGAGCCCGACGTCCGGGACGCCGTCGAGGCCGCCCTGGCGGCGCTCGCGGAGGACCACGAGCTCGTCGACGTCGCGATCCCGCACCTGATGACGCTGTGCGCTCGCCGGCGTCGCCCGCCTTTCCGGCCCCGCGGGACCGACGCGCCGCGCAGGTCGCTCGCGCACTCGATGACGCTCTCCTCCGAGATGGCCTTCATGCACGACGCGGAGTTCGCGGCCGACGGCGACCCGCCCCTCGAGGACTCGACGCGCGTCGCGCTCGCCATGGGCCGGAGTCGCGCGCCGGCGTCCCCCGGGGCGCCCGCCGCGCGCGCGAGCGCCGCGCCGCGCAGGCATGACGGCCGTCGAGATCCACGCCGCGAACCGGCTGCGGAGCTGGGCGATGGACCTCTTCGAACGGGAGCTCTTCGGCCGCCTGGGCCTCGACGCCGTCGTCTCGCCGACGACGCCGATCGTCGCGCCGCCGCTCTCGGCCGCGGCCGCGGCCCGCGGCGAGTCGGACACGGCGCTGACCGTGAAGCTCATCAAGTTCGTCTTCCTCGCGAGCGCGCGCGCGCGTCCGGCTCGCGTCGTTCCTCGCGGCCGCGACGTCGCCTCCCCGCGCAGACCTCCTCGGCCTACCGAGCCTCTCCGTGCCCGTCGAGTCGCCCGGGCTCCCCGTGGGCCTGCTGCTGACGGCGCCCTGGTGGCGCGAGTCCGCGCTCCTCGGCCTCGCCAAATCAATGCCGGAGGTCGACGCGCCGCGGCCGCGCGTCTTCGCGAGCGAGTTCGACGCGCTCCTCGCGCCGTGACCGCGTATGTGGAGGCGGCTCGGGGCGCAGTCGGTCTCGCGCAGGAGCGTAGGCGCCGTTGAGACGCGAAGAGACGCCGTCCCTGTCTCGGCCGATCGGTCGGCGCGCAAGCACCGAGACGCCGCTGGACCTCCGCGTTCTCGCGGGGAGACTCGCGTCGCGTCGCTCGGCGGCCTTGCGCAGCCGGCTAGCTCGGTTCGCACCCCGCGAACCCCCCAGGATAAGCTCACCCGACCCCCGGAACGAGAGT